TAATGTTATTACATATCCTATCCTTAAGTTTACAAGGACGAAACCAAAATTATTATTACTATTTTATATATACAACGTGTATAATACAAAAAGTAAAAACATATGATCAAGAAATCCCATCAAACAACAGTTCATGAATAAAAATTTAAAAAGAATATAGAACAGACTTCAAACTTAAAAAAAAGGATAAATAACACTTATCTCAAAGCGACTTATTCAAGAAAATGCTATTGTAGTTGGGGGAGGTATTCTGTAATTTCATTAATTAAATGATAGGTGCCCATCTTCAATAGCATTTTCTTGAATAAATCGCTTTTGAAAAACTTTTTACGCAATCTATTTTAACCTCCTCTTTTTGGATTTTAAAGTTGGTCAAAAATATTGACAAGACTTCACAAAAAAAAACAGATCTTATGTAGAGTCAAGCTTCTCACTCTACATGTAGCTATAACATAAAAACTTAGAGCTTAATGGCGTAGTGGATAGCGCGCTCGGTCTGGGGTGCAGCTGTTAACTTTTGCATGGCTGGTCATAGGACGGCTGAACAAAAATGTATTATCCCGCTCCTTCGTGCTTCAGAAGGCATGTTAAGGCATTGGCCCTAGTTGCACCTGCAGTCGTTAATGACACCAACTGGGGTCATGTGGTAGATCATGGCCCATTCTCCCTATTCGATTAGATTCGTTCCCATCTACAGGGAAGGCCTGAGCCCTAACAGTGGGGACATTGATGGGAACAGTGGGGGCTAGTGATACTGATGAAACAACCTTTAACTTTACCAATTGCTGTTGATCGAATTATTAATTAATTATCAAAGTGTTTTATTTTATTACAATATTAATCATTAATTTAAAATGTTTAAGCACTTGCTAGAGATTCTGTCAAACGGTCTATAAAAAATTTACTTTTTCCCAGATATTCCAATTTTCTTTAAATAAACATATTCGTTTAATTTCTGGCATACATGAATATTGTCTCTATGTCAATATTTGTCCCCAATGATGACCCTACCCCATTGACCTTGAACATTTAGGATGTACCCTCGCCCTCGAATTAAACAACGGGTAAAGTGAAATAAACGGTGAATGTCCTCAAACATACATAGAATACTGGAATGAGCTTCAAACGGGACAAAGCAGCCTTTGAAAGATTCCATGAATTTTCACAAAATTTTCAGTTGAAGCGTGTGCACTCAACTTTTCAGTGGAAAGGCATTATTCAAATAATTTCTCAAGTCGTCGAACATAAGTTGTATTTAAGCCCTACATTGAATATTGTATCTAATAAAAAAAAATTACAACAAATTAAAAAAAAGCAATTAAATTTATGGATCCAGTCTTTATAAAATAGTTTATTAGTCAAGCCATCCTTAAGTAAATTAGATTACTCGTAAGTATTTTATTGTATATTCTTGCTCCGCTTAGATAAACCTCACAGGTTTTCGTGTCGGTATCTAAATATACGAGTACAATGAACTATAATATTGCGAATGATTTGAATAAATAAATAAAAAACTATTAACAGCAGCAGTGGCGTATTTACCATAAAGCCACAAAAGACCTGGACCTAGGGCGGCCAGATATTAGGGGTGCCAATAATGCGATAAAATATTGAGTGCCAAAAGCTGTATGATGAAATACAGCGTCTTCCCTTTTTTATTTATGATAAACTTACTCAGCTCAAATTAGAATAGGAATAAAACAGATCCATATTGCGGAAGGTCATATGTTCGAATCTTAGAAAATAAGAATATTTTCCAGTATTTAAACAATTTTGCGTTCACAAAGCTTGTGAAACAAATTTTCATGTTAATCGCAGGTTTAAAATATTTGTAAGAATATTTATTTCGGCTGTTTGGGTGGATTGCCTGAACATTGATGAAAATACTTTCACTAGGAGTGAAAAGTAACAACTTGAAAAATTTAGGAATTTTCAGCCCGGATTGCAAACGGTCGTGGGTTCAAGTCCCATCTCAGAGTACCTGGGAGCGGTGATTTTTTTAAGCATTTTTCATTAAGAATATTTTCCAGTATAGCATTGGGAATGCAAAATGGATAAATATTATAAAGGAGATTTTTGTTTATTAGCTCGACGTAATTTTTCCAATACATATATATATATATATATATATATATATATATATATATATACTAATATTATAAAGAATAGCGATTTGGTTGCTTGTTTATTTGCATTAAATAGGTTTCGAGCTATTGAACCGATTTCAAAAAATCTTTCATCTACGGCAGCCTTTCCCAAAGTGGGTGATAACGCCCCCTTGTGGGCGCTGCAGGCCTAAAGAGGAACAATAAGAGACCGAGAAAAAAATGGGGGCGTAGTGTGGTGTGGAGTGTGGAATGGGTGATTTGTAATTTAATTTAGCTAGGACGTCTCTTAGACACCGACTGCATGAGCTCTCGACTCTCAACTATAACTCGTGAACATCAACTTAAATTAGTTAAGAGATTGCTCAAACTCAGTTCAATAATTCTCTCCGCGTAGATCATATATCTATCCTGTCTTATTGAATAAAAATCATATCAATCGGTCGCTCCGTTTCTAAATGAAAGTAGACACAAACAAGCAAATAAAAAGGTGCGTGCTGCTTATGCAATCCTATATAAACAAGATAATATTTATTTTATTTTCATTTGCGGTTTCGCGCTTAATAGATAAGCAGTACCTACCTAACTTCAACATTTACGTAGTTCACAAAAAAAATGTCGGAAGTAAAAAAGAAGAGACATCACTGTGCGGAATATATTGAATTCAGATTCAATGAAAATCACACAAACCCATCGTCACCTTTGTGCCTTCTGTATCTTCAAAATCATCAAAATTATTTGAATAAACTGCATCCAGATTCGCCAAAAAGAATGTACAAGAATGTAGCATATTTTGAAGACCTAGACAAAAAGCATAATATAAATGGCGGCTGCTAAGCAAGATGACGACGGACTTCGTGCTTCGTACAATATCTCTTTGTTAATAACTCAAAAAAGCAAACCACATAACATCGGAGAAGAGTTAATTTTGCCAGCAATAAAGGAAGTAATAACTACTGTGCTTCATAAACCGGCTGCAGAGATTATCCGAAAAATTCCTATGAGTAGTAATTCTGTGCAAAGACGAATTGTAGAAATGGCTGAAAACATTGAAGGATGTGCAATTACCTGAGAACCAGTCAGTTCCCAATTCAACTCAATGAGTCCACTTTGAAGGTGAAAAGGTGAAAGCAAAGCAATCCTGCAATAACGATGATTTATTTGCCTATATTTGGAAAACCTCCATATAATCTTCACCGAACAATATCAGGACATTTTGAACTTGGAAATACCAGACTGGATGTTGGATCCGTTTTATTTAAAAACTGATCCAACACAGCAATGCCTCAGCTGCAAGAACAACTTACAGAATTGACAACAAACGAGGAAATAAAAATCAAGTTCAAAAATATTTACCAGGAATTTTAGATACAAAAACCAAACCTGCAATTGTACCCTGGAATATGTCAATCATTCAACGATTCTTGATAGCATTCCCATCGTCATATTTGTGTGAACGTGGATTTAGTGCTGTGGCAACATTGGTTACTAAAAAGAGAAATCGTTTGCATATACTCTCTTTGAACACTATAAAGTTGCGTTTCAATAATCATTTTCATTGGCAGATGTAGCCAGTAAGAGTTTACTTGAGATCTAAGCGCCGTTATGTATTACCTACTGCGCTCGGGTTTCAAATTAACTCTTGCGAGTAAAATTTACGTTAAATCTCCGCTAATATAGCTCACAATAATGAATTAATTTAATTAGAAGTTATCGTGGTTTTTAAATAGGTGAAAAAATGAGGCCGCTAAAAACTATTTATTCTCAAATGAGCAGTAAACAAAATAAGTTTAGGAACCCCTGATCTACGGGAAACTACATCATACATTCAAATGAAATCAATTCCCCCACTGCCTTCTAATAATAATATATTATTTATTGCACACTACAGAAGACACAATACAAAGAAGCAAAATCAGAAATAAGTATACAAAAAGCCAGGCAACCCATGTTAGAAAAAAATAAATAAATAAAGAACAAGAGGGACGTGGATGCAAGGCGATAGTAATAATAATAAATAGGTATATCTGGATACATAAACAATAGAGGAAATCAAATAATTAAAGTCATCAGAGTCATATTAAAGGATTGAGAAAGTCAAGATAGTGATAAGAAGTGAATCTTCACTTGAGCAACAAAATAATCCAAAGTACGAGCTCTCCTTGCTGCTTCTGGCAATGAGTTCCACAGGCGGACAGCATGTACGGAAAAAGAGTAGGAGAGGAAGTCAGTAGCATGACGGGGAATTTCGAGGGTCAAGTTTAATGAAGAGCGCGGAGACCATTGTGAAGAGGAGGTTCGGAAAATAGAACATTTTTAAGATAAGGAGGTGACATAGGTAGGAAAAGAACTGAGTAATCTCAGTATATGTATATCTCTGCGCCGGTGAATAGGAACAAGTTGAGTTTGGAACGAAAGTGTGATACATTGTCATATTTGCGGAGATTGTAGATGAATCTGATACAGCAAAACTGTTTGATAGAAATTGGTTCACAATTCACGAATCCTTTTTTCCGAATTTGAATGAAAGCAATTAACGCTATCTTTATTTTTTCGCTGAAATAAACATGTCGTCTATGTAGTTTGGTGGTATTTGATAAAAATCATAAAGCTATTGTTTTGTTATAAAAACAAAACATTCGATTAAAAAATCTATTTCGATAATATTTTTATGGGATCATCTCCAGCCCATGCTGTCCAATAAAAAAAAAATTGAAAATCAGTCCACAATTCGCGGAGAAACCGGTGAACATACATAAAAAAATACATCACCGTAAGAAATATTAACTAAAAGTGTGAATATTGTATTTTTATATTAACCACAAAATTGTTATAAATAAAATTATAAACACGAAATTTTAGCTGCAGAAATAGAAAATATTTAAAAAAACTCACCTTTCTTCTACTTCTTGAAGTAGTTGCCATTCCCTGAAAATAAGAAAAGATTTACTTGTATAAACACTACAAACATAATACAATATAATAATGATACTAAAAGTGTACTCAAAAAGGCATTTATTTATCATATTTTTACCAATGGTTTTTGTATGAGATCGCTTCTATAGTTATAAATTTACAGTTCGCGTCATAATTAAGACTTTTCAAGCATTATATTAATCACAAAAATCTCACCCTAGAATTCTTAACACACTACGAAATTCGGAGTAAACTTAAAGTTTGCAATAAAATAAAATAACTTATTATATAATAATAATGGAGGATTTTTAAGAATATTATCAAGTATAGTATTGTGAATACAAAATTGATCAAATATAATAATCAAATATTCATTTACAAGCTAGGAGGCTATAAGAACAAATGGTAAAAAAAAGTAACTTCTTCGTCTTGATAAAATGCCTGTGGCTCCTATAAATTACTTATTCCATTTTCTTAAAACATAGCTTAGAACCACCGCGATGAAGAAGGTTTTCGAACGCCTAAATCAATTTTTATATACGAAGGTTAGAATAGCGATATACGATTATTTTGAAGCAATCGAGCGTGTAATTTTTTGAGAAGCGCACATTTGAATAACGCTTGCTAGTGAAATGACAAGATTTTTTTGTTATGTTGTTATTATCGGTATCTTTCATAGATACAACACAATATATTTTTTAAATTAACAAGTGTAATGGATCAACTTATAATATGTACTTTGAGTCGATTGGAATAATAAAAGGTTCAAACATTCTGTTGAATTCTGGAATTGGATTCTTGAGAGGACCAACACGAATTAAGTACTTTTTTAATTTGAATTCATAGAAGAAGCTAATTCAGTCACTCCAGCTGAAAAGAAACAATACAATAGTGCCGGGAAAATGACTATGTTTACGAAATAAAACTTCTGTAAACCGTATTTTTTTGCTAAACTGTAATGTGTGGGTTTGGGTAACAACATAAAGTTTAATTTGGAACGTTAAATCATACCTGTTTTTAATCCGGTTTAAAGTTTTATTTCTGTAGATGCTTAGCTCATGTTAAAGTACCTAAAAGTGACTCGATACGTACTGGAAGTGTTTTACGTATTCATTTACGTAATGATAAAAGGATGAAAAAGATAACAGAATACCTCTCTATATGGCCTTTTTTCGTATCCTTCAGCCAAAACTACAGAAAAATAAAACTCATGATAATTCTAAAACTGTATGATTTCCTTTACTTAAAAAAGTGGACGTTATATAACCTCTTATATCACAAGATCAACAGGTCTCGTAAAAATTGAAAACGGACTTTGAATATTTTATATGAAGCTTAACTATGATTTATTGCTTTAGAAACATTATTTAATAAGGAGACAATGTTTATTTTTATTTGGCTCATGACCAATGAGCCTAAAGAAAATATTTATTCAAAAATAAAATACTTATTATATGAATTTTTATAAAAATAAACATTATTAGAAGATAGCAATCTCGGCATTCGGTAGAATGCATGCAAAGTGTTGTAGCCATTTAAGAAGAAAAAATCCCTTCATAACGCTTAAGCATAAGAAGAAAAACCATCGGCACCAAGATATTTAGAATATTTTTATCTTTTATTCGGTCCGTCGCACAAACGTCCATTAAGCTTTAATGACGCCTTTTAATCTCTAATGAATGTCAAAATTGTATGGCTAATATCACTTTAAACTAATGCAAAATTTAATGAACGTTCGTGCAACTGGCTGATTGTGTTTTAATTTTAAATATCAATTAAACACAATGACAGATATAAATATTTTTGTAAAAATGGAGACGGAATTTGACAGACGACAGAAAACGAAAAGTAAATTTTGTTTTTTTTTTTGCAATCAAGATGAAAAGTAGAGTTCTTGCTAATTGGTTAATATATAATCATAATTAATCGTTTAGCCCCTTGTGAAAAAAAGAAAATATTGCACGAGGTTGTAAAATGATGTTTTTAAAAAATTTAAATTTTAGGGGTCGGTAAAAATGGCGGACGTAAAACATAATATTGATTGATCATTCATTATTTTAAATACAATTACGCCATGAACAACGTAAACCATCAGAATTAATTAATATATTTTATATAATTACATCAACTAATCTATTAAATTGTGTTTGTTGTAAATCATTTCATTGTAAAATGTGTAGGTAATGAATGCACCATGTCGACGTTGTTCGCCGAGTTGTTGTGGACCGGAACATCTTTTTACCCACTTTATGTACCCTACCCACGAGTAATTGATAAACAGCAATATCAAGAACAATCTTTTATGGTTTAAGCGACATTGTTTTCTTATTTTGTTAATGATAAAGACTACTAGGAATCATTTCACTTAAAACCTTTTTTATTCTCCAGTTCCTAGAACCAGCACCTTGAATCTAATCATTCACTTTATTAAAGTTTCTTACATAATATAAAAAAATGCTTTTTTTCCTAGAAACATTTTACTTTTCAAAGCAAGACGCTAATTCAGCTACCTATATTGATAAACTAAGAAATTTACTTTGTAAAATTGGCTCTTATCCAAACTAAAGTGAAAAGAAAATATTTTAAATACTCAACATTATCTATAATCAGCAATCTGACGTTACATAAATACTTATAAATGTTCATGGATACGTTAAGCGGTTAATTATCAAACATCTTTGCGCACATTTACAGATTTAGAAGAATAGTTAGTATAATACAAATTCTTTGCTAATAAATATCACTTACGTATTGTTTGAGATGCAACAACGTGTGACGTATATCTATTATGATTCGCATCCAGTAGTGTCGCGAATTCATCACAATGTGTGTCGAATAACCGTGTTCTTGATCCAGGACGAGTTCCAATCAGAAATAGCGGGAGCAGTGGCCGACTTTCGCGATTGTGTTCCCTATCTTCTATTTATATTGCGAATACGCGGTGTGTGATCCGTATCACGGTCGACTCACCCAAATCCCAACACTAGGCTAGCGACACTTACCGAGAATCACTCATTATTTTGTTTTGAAAACTCACTAGAGACTTATAGTTTAACTGCGACTGTCACGCATTTGGATCCTATTCAACACGGCAAACCTACGCATAATTAATGATATGCTGTTGGAGTTGAGTGTTAAGAGCAATTTGCGAATGTTTAGATTTCTATCACTCGACGGTGCACGTCGTATTGTCAACACATTCGTAACTTTGAAACTAAATTGTTTCCCTAGTACGAGTATATTCCAGTAATGTGACAGTGATCCGTTCCGAATATATTAATTTAAATGAGAGATAGAATTTAATAAACCAATTTTAACGTGTAGAAGAGCAATCGTTATATTCCTGCTTCAAAAAAATTTATTAAATTCACTATCACTTTTGCCGTTGTTATAATTATTAGATATTGTTTTTATGCGTTCGATTTTTTTCTAAAAAATACCAGACCATAATTTTTAATTTTTGCAATTCTATACTCTTACTTCAAACAGAAATAGGATTTCATTTTGAAATATATTATAAAAAATTTATTATTTAGAGGGAATCGCGTTCCGGAGGTTTCGTTTATATGTAAATTCGTCATAAAAATCGATTGTCGCAATTTTCTAATTATGTTTCAAGTTTCCCGCTAATATCAATCATCAAACATATTACAATATTAGAACTACATTCATCAAAGTAACTGGATAATATTACCTTTATTATAAAAATAGAATATCTAACTGTAAATAATCTTCTCCTATAATTGGCGAGCTAACTACATCGGTTTTCAGATTTTTCTAATTACTGCTAGATTATGTTCCTGCTAATCAAATTTAAAAAAATATATTCGCGCTGGACTATAAACAATTATTTGTTCGCTTGGGACTAACAAATTGAGGTACAAACTAATTTTAGGCCACTTGCTTGACCACTGTATTATCATTCCACCATCACAAAATATAAATAGTTTTCCAAACAAAAAATCACTTCAAAATTAAATTAAAATTTAACAATTAATCAATCAAAATTTACTCTAGAACTATTAGTCCAAGTATAACTTTGTATTAGACTAAGAACACGTTATTTTAATTAATAAAATATATAAAGTTTTACTTTTACCTGCTAAAAGTATCATCACTATTCCAGTATTTCTCGTCGAATTATATTACTCATCGAAAATGTGTATTTAAATTATATTTTCTCTGTGAGTTAATTTTGATGTCATAGAAAAGTAACTGAGTGATTTTTATACATATTTATTTCATTAAATAACTTTAAAGGAATTAAGTTAGGACAACGTTTATAAACGGTCCAAAATTTGTAATAAAAATAAAATATCATTAAAGCTTTGCAACTATTCCAAAATGGTTTCATTGTGTAGTAGTAGTAGAAGTAAAATATATTATTGAACTGTGTTAACACGAGTAGCAAGTGTTATAAAAAGTATTTTGACTTAGTAGTGGATTTATAGAATCGCAAGGTGCTTTGATATCGTAAATCACAAATGCCTCCATGGCAAAGTGGTTACGTCGTTTTAAAATGTGGAAAATAAAGCAACATTCGCAAAGGTCGGTTTTATGACGGATGACAAAAAAATATTATCTAAAGCCCCTGTGCTCTGGAACGTACCATAAGCTGTTGATCGCAACTACATCTGCAGTCGTTAACACCCACCACTCTGGACTGGACCAGCGTAATGGTAATGGCCAATTCTCTCTATTCGATTCGATTCCCATCAATTGAGACTTTAACAGGCTAATGATTATGAAGAAATTTGAAATTGCTCCGGAATAATGTTTGTTACAAAACTAATCGAAAATTTTCTGCCATACCTAGTGTTGTTGTTTGGATTAGAAACATTGGCATTGGCAACCTAGCGTGCCAGCGATCGATCCACTCAACCTTACAAATTGTTCCAACCTTACACCCCACAGCTTATTATGCTTAATGTTTATTACGTACCACCGAATACCATACGAATTCAAACTGTTCAACGTATGTAAACATTTTCTTTTTGTTATATTACTAATTTGCTTCTGTAACGTCATTTTGAATATACGTTCTAATAATCTAAATAAAGTTTAAACAATTGTTTTGTATCTATAATACCTTATTTAAAAACTTAAATTTCGTTGTCTAATCATATGAAATTAGTTATAATCTGTTCAGTTTTGTTATTTTCAATTCCGAAGGCGTTTTCAATAAAAAATATATTCAAGAACGATGTTTTTTTTCATTTGTACGATAAATTACAAATCAGCTTTTAAATTGCTTTGTAGAAAGTAACTAATTACATAGTTACTACAAATGTAAGTCTCTATCATTCCTGATATTTCAGCACTCAAAGAGAATTTATATTTTTATTATACCTAATATTTACAAAATGATCAAAACATATTTCAAGTTGTCGATCAAATAATTCGTTGTTATTCAATACAGCTAATTATAACCGCTGTAATAAATATATAAAAACTAGCTAACCCACCCACGCGTAGCTTAATTGAGATAAAAAACTTTCCTATCTTTAAGTTAGACCAAATTACAAATACATGTGAAATGGAATTAACACCGCTGTAACAGTTTTTATCAATAACATACATAATAACACGAGATCTACATATGTTAATATTATAATGTTTCCATTTCATTATTTGTTTGTAATGAATAGGTTCTGAAGGCACTGGACAGATTTTAAAAGTTCTTTCACCTGCGGGAAGTTACATCATAGGAGGGTGACATAAGGCTACAATTTTCAGAAAACAGCTATTATTTACATATATCGATTAAGTGATCGAATTATGTTCTAAGACGACAAGAAATGAATAGGCAAGATAAAGATACTAGAAACATTATTTGCAAATAAAAAATGTTCACTGTTTAGTGTCAATGGTAGATTATTTTTTTAATTCTTCGGTTACATTAATCTGACTATGCATTACAAATTGGTGAAAAAAATGATATAAGCATTATACTTCAAAGATTTGAAAAAGCAATAATTTACAATGCTCTAAGCTCTATTCGGTGGAAAGCTAAATTCTTATGCTACGAGCGTATTTGTATTGCTACGAGTAAGTCGTATTCGTAGTGCAGCGTTTTCAACTGCATTCGCTTTCCGAAAAAGATGGATTTTGATTTTGTAACAAAATTCTAAAATATGTTTACACGGGTGAAATCGCGAGAATACAGCTGGATAATAATATTTTCTATTGACAACACTCCTTTTTGTTGCTGATTTCTTTTTGTCTTCGTATTTATACACTTATAAAAACTCATAATTAAGGGCCCTGAGTAAAAGTAACAAGTAATCTTTAGGTAAATCATTTTATTAATCTCATATTCATTATTATTTTCAAGATTTATTTTCATAGTCTAGGTAAATTTTGATCAATAATTCGTACTGGCGGCGAAGTGATTTGGATTGTGCTCCAAATCTGAAGAAGACGTAGTAAGTACATTCAAATTCTCCTTGAGACAAACTTTAATACTGTATATGTATTTATAACTAAAATATTTTTTCACTGTTTGATACTCGAATAACTAACACATAATGTTTAATCTTAATCACTTTCATTTTGACAACTTGTTTACACTTTTACCGTAATAGCACTTTATGCATCATAAACAAACTTATCATTGCTGGAAACACGTGATCAGGCTTATCAAAAAACTTCTATATCACATTTTCACTACAACATTGAATAAAACATCATGTATCACTTTATTTAGGCTATAATTCTGCATTTGGATAATACACTTTGCTTGCCAATAAGAAGGTAAAGTTTTAAATGATGGTGTTAAGGTCTACCTTTGGTTTAAGAGCGATGCACAGCAGACAGGACGCGTGTGAGGCGATCGTTGTCGCCGTCGGTCGTCGACGAGTAGGGCAGGAACGTTGTCACGTTGCCTTCGTGCGTCGCGCCTCGACAGTCGAGAGCCGTTTGATGCGCGGGTATTTCGGTATATCACAGCCATCGGACATATCGCGACCGTGCGACCTGGCCTCAACGAGCGCTCTAATAATAAACGTGTTTATATTTTTTATTCGACTTTATTCGTAATCCACGCCGAACAGCCCGGCAAAGACCTCGGGTAGCGACCTCGGACCACGTGCTCCTCGAAATAGATGACGCGACATTCGATTTTATCGTCGATTGTTTCGGAGGTAGATCATAAGAGTTGGCGCCAAAAGTAGTGTCCCGTTCAGGTGATAACCGGGAGGAGTGTGGGGGGCGGGTCCGCGTACGTACCGTGAGCGTGTCAGAGATGGCGTTGCAGAAGGCACCGAAGCCGGAATGGTGGGGCGCTGGGCCGGGCGGGCCGGCATCCATGGTGCGGGCCGGGCAGGGCAGCTCGTCGCGGCGGTCGGTCGGCTGAACACTGCCGCGCGCGTACCGGGCGCCCTCGCGTTACATAAACGCACTGTTGCCCGTTACCCGCTCCCACCTGTCTGTTGTCGCTTCTGGCATCACATGCATCCCACAACAACAATACTCAATAATTATAGACACACTATTTTGAGGGTACTCAAAAGCGGTCCGTAAGACTAATTTGTTACATTACTTTCTTTATTTTGCGCGTAATTAAAGACTGAAAATGTTTCATTGACATTCTGAGATCGCTACTTGCAATAAAATTATTAAATACAGAATCTTCAGTTTACATTCTCTATACCTATTAAAACTAGTAACATTTTACAAACTAGTTACAAAGTTAATGTTTTTCAATTGGAACAAACGCTTACCTAGGTAGGTATTCTATTTTAAACTTGTTGGCAGCAAAAACTTTGAAATTGTTACAGAAACAGTCTCAGAATGTCGTGTTAGTCTTAATTAAAAATAAACTTTGTGTTCTGTTTAGGCCATCAAAAGATTTGCATGCTGTTAATAAAAGCAAAAACATGTTGAACTTTAATAATACCATGAGAATGTACCATGTTTTCAAGCAAATAAAATGATTATTATTATTATTATATTATGTGTATACCTACTTATATTTATATAGATTGGTCTATAATATTGTTGTATTTAATCAAAAATATCATTGTTTTGATCTATTACAGTTACGTGGTTCAACTATATACAAACTCGATTTAATATTTGCAAATTTTCGCGTCCTAATACATTCGTATGTTTATGAGTATAGTCCTTTTTATGGTTACCATAAAATAATTTGAAAACGGTGTGATTATGTCGTCGTTATTCATTGTGCACATGTACACTTGAGTAAACGTTAAATAGGATAACAAAATTGAACGAATCATGTCTACAACAAAGGGTATGAATGAGCGTTTGATGAATTAAGTGGCATAAAAGCTGTTAATATTTGTTACACAAGAATACCGAATGATGTCACTGGTCTGTGTATACATAATAAGTATTATCCACGTTATAAAGACAGCAACCGTTGCCAAGTGATAGATATTATTCGTGATATAAAGTAACCGTTAGTAAATTAAGTGGTTCGCACGCCGATTTCAAGGTGCCGCCATCTCTAAGTATTCGTGACACGTATGTACTGTAATTATTGTTTTAGTTGACTTTTTTATTATTCACTTACACTATTTCAATCATTAGACAGGTATCGTAATAATTTACTTTTTTATTATATTTGTAATATTCTGGCATCTCTCATTTTATTCATATCTGCTAAATTAAATTATATCACTCGTACATACAGTAATAATTAATGTTGTTATATTTGACATAATTTTTTTAAACATATATATATTTTAACTGTAAAGTAATAATCAACTAATTGTTTTCCTAATTATTTTTGCAGGCTATTTAAGATGGCTAAATAGGTCAAAGCTGCCACTGCACTTGAATATGATCATTGTAACATAACCCTATTTATAGCAAATAAAGATATTATTATTATTTGGTTCCCGATGTAGGGAATGGACTTTCTATATTGTCTCAAGTCTGGCTGTTGTTATACTTTCGTAGTCTCAAGTACTTTAACTTCGTTTTAAGGTACCTGAGCTGTAGCTCTACAGCTACAGAGCTACAGCTCTATTAAAGTATCTGAAACCATCATTGGTTTCAGATACTTTAATATCGTCCGCGTGGTATAGTTACTTTGAGCAGTATATATTTTCCAATAATACTGTCGTTTTCGAGCTAATGATGAAATCACCTTGATGTGTAAGTTCGAAGACACTACAACAAAAAAAAAACAAATATCCAATATGTTACAACACTTTATCTTTGAAAACTTTAGGGATATTAATCCAATCCAATCCAATTTGAAATACAGAAATACTGAACAAGAAAATTTAATTTGTACCCGCGTGATGAAAACAGGTGGATGGTGGAAGGTTTATCTCTGAAAGTAACAAAATGTTATCGATTTTGAAAAAATAATTCATGAAATACTTCTATAACTATAGATTACAGGAAAATGTGTGTATTTTCAAGAAATCGACGAGTTTTTTATTACTAAGGCCTCGGTTACTCGTTTGGCGAACCGACTTTTTCTTTCTTTTTATGAAACACAATATATTGTAAATATTGTGTTTCTGCCAAATCACAAATAAAAGTAATGGCATTCTATTTAACGGTGTTTCATTAAGCCATTTTATTGGTTTTGTTACACATTTTGAGGCCATGATTATCAGAAATCGTATCGATCTGCTATGGATAGAGCTCGTGAATAGTTAAATAAATTAAAAAATACCCGCCGAATCATAAATACGAAAAATATTATTTTAAAAATGTTATTGGGTAATTCTATAGTAACTAGGTACTCGTACTATCTTGAAAGTAAAATCAATGAGTATTTTTTTCATTTTGTCTGTCACTTAGTGAGCTCTAAAATTTGACTACTATAAAATTATATTGTAAAGAAAAAAAATTTAACTCAAATAATCTTTGTGTGAAACTCGTAAATTTTTATGTACTATCTAATTCTACTAGGGTTCCAATTTTACTAGATAGACAAAACTTTTAACTTACCTTGCTTAAAAAGGATGGACTAAAATATAATTTCTCGGAAGTGGTTTTTTTTTATTTTATTTCTATTGTTGTTACCTATTCATCAGTAAAGATTCTATTAGTCTACTAAAATTTCATAATTATAGTCTTTTATTTTACACAAGAAAAGACAACCTTCTGATTTGTAAGTGTCGATCTCGGAAATTCAGCAGAATAAGTGCATTGCGTTGTGGCCATTTGAAAATGTTTTTTTATTCAAATAAGCTTAGTACAAGCACTTGTAATTCGTAAAAAAAAATTCAACTCGCCCAGAACGTCTTTTGGCTCACAATAAGTACAAGCGAAAGAAACTTACTCAGATCAGAAATAACGACATTACAATCATTCATGTCATTAGCAAAATAATACGTATTACAATAATAATAAAAACAATTTTCAATGTCTGTAGGGCAGCAAGAAGAAAAAAACATTCTTCTAGTCAACCGACACTGGTTAACAACCAATTTCATTTTGAGACATCAATGGTTTCAGTAACGAGATCTACTTAACATAATATACATATATTATTGAGTAGCCACCGAGCGTAGTGAATTAGCGCCGCATCCCGTGATCGTTATAGTTAAGCAACTTACGCTATGATCAATAACGGGATGGGTGACTAGAATATTATTTTCTTGAGCTACTCCCCCAGATAGCATGGAAACTTGGGGGCAAGTTTGCTTTGATTCTTAATTGCAGCGTCAAATATGACGAGGCAAGTTTGTGATAATGTCGCTGTAGTATTGTTATGTTAAATATAAAGTTTCAAGTTTACGACAATATTGTTTGAATATTATTATGACAAAGATACTTATATGTAACACACCCATCATCTTCAAAGGTGCCCGAATAGTTCTAAGTCTGCAAACTAGATGGCGCTGTTCATTTAATGCATCGCGGCATCAGTTTATTTTTAAATTTTACAACTTCGTCTGCGTGGGAAGTATTTTGGTAGAATTCTTTTTTTCCTATGAATACAGACGAATCGAATAAGATCAATGGGCCATAACCCACTACGCAGGCTTAATGCGGATCGGTGGGTGTTAACGTTGCTGATGCAGCCAGGACTAACGGCCAAGGACTACGTGCATTATGCCAGTGCTCAAGATAATAATGTTTTGGTCACCCATCCTGTAAACGGTCCTTACGAATGTTATTTTTCTATTTTTTTCTCGTTTCTCGCGCTCTGGTTGTCGCTTGTGTCTGAGCATTTTATTCGTACCTTTAAAGGGTCCTTGTTTTGTTTTTGATCTTTTTAAATTATTATTTTTTGTCTAGTTGTACGCACAAACGACTATTTATTGTTCTATTTTTCATGTTATGCTAGTTTGCCTGGAAGAAATCGCTGGCTAGCGATGAGTTTGTCGTTTGTACTTATTTATGTAAAATAAGTATTCATGTATGTCCTTGTTGTGCAGTATTTACTTACTTATTTAACTGCAATTTAAACCGTATGCGCTAACCCACTACGCCATCGGACCCCTTATACCTAAGCTATACTAATATTATAAAGAGGAAAGATTTGGTTGTTTGTTCGTTTGCATCGAATTTGCTCCAATACTACTGGACCGATAGTTGCAGAGCGATTTCAACCTACGGGAAGCTACATCAGACGCGCATGTCATAGGCTATAATTTTGCGGCAAAGTCGTGGGAAAACAGCTAGTTTATTATACCCTGTGAAAACTTATCTGCGGTACGCCTGTCGAGTATGAAGTCAACACGGGTTGGCGATAATCGAAACTACTACTTTCTCGATCTCTATTCTGCAAACTGCAAGCTCTTTAAGAGACCAAGCGCATTTCCCTATCAAAAGAAGTTTCATACTCATACCATACTGCATGTATGTAAAAGCTTCAGATTCAACTTTATAGTGCATGAACCTCGCGATGGGCAGTTAAATACGCTTCGCGTTTTTCAGGTGTCTCCCGAGACCGAGCGTTTAGTGTCTGATCTCTTTCTTTGTCTATAAAAGTCGGTCAGTACATGTCTGACGGAAAATACGTGGAGTTTTGTTTATTGATATAAAAAAAATATATACTTATTTTAATTTCGACTTTCCACACTCGAAGGAAATCGTCTACTAACATACTTCCGTGAGGTGCTTAACTGAGCTTCTGTCAGATTTGAACCGCCCTCATCATCATAATCAGCCCTTATACGTCACCAACTGCAGGAGTTCAGGCCTTCCTTATGGATGGTTAAAGAGGATGGGCCACGACCCTCCATGCTGGCCCAATGTGGATTGGAGGACAATAACGACTGCAAATACACCCGGGACCAATCGCTTTACGTGCTTTCCAAAGCTTGGAGTTGCTTGAGATAATATTTTTTGGTCATCCATCCTGTGCCCGACCTTTGCGAAAGTTGTTTAACAACTGCAATCGCGGGCCATGGCGCTTATTCACTACGCCACCGAGCTACTCTGAACCGACCCTCGCGTAATATTATGTGAGTGTTGTGACCAATGAATAAAGCATTGTTTCCAACGAAGACTGAAAATACCAACTTTGAAGTAAGTATCTACAGCAATTTGTATGTAAAAAAAAAACAAAAAGAGTATTAACATAAAAAATAGCAATAAGAGAAAAAAAAATATATAACTCGAGTTGTCTTTGCGTTCTTAACTTCAGTTGACGTGAATCTAAGTTTTTTAACGTCGTGGAAAAACTTCTGACATTGTGTCTGTTACCTGGCAAGCAACAGGGGTGAGTAAGATTCTCCTCCGTGAACCCGACAGTGAGCTGCCCGGTGGGTCCCCAGAGGCCTACCCACCAAAATCCGTACTCTACACCCTCTCATGGGAAATGAAAACCGGCAAGCTATGGCCGAGTCA